AACTCGGGAAATCACTTTTGTTCCTTTCAAAGTATTAAGGCTAAAAAATGCACTAAAGAAATTATTACCAGCTTTTGAATGTGTTATTTATCTCATAATCCAAATCATTTCCAATACTGACAAAATTGCCAACAGTTTGTCAGTCATCATCAACGTAAAACTGTGCACGAATAAATATTAAACGATGTTACCTCATCTCATATCAACACAACAAAAGTGTTCTCCATTAATCGACGGATAGCTTTTATATCTGTACTAACTAATTTCTATGTTTATTGATGTTAATAATTCGAATTATAATTTGTTGTTCCTAACCCCCATGGTTCACAATCCTCTAATCCTTACAGTAGAACTTACGGTCACATTTGTTATTGCATAACTCTAGTAAATATTTTTCGTTAACTTATTTTACCGCCCCTAAAACTCAACGGTTTAATGTAATAAAATTGGTAACTGATACGGTTCAGTTTGTAAATGTCATTCATACTCCTTTTAAATATAGGTTTACTTTAAACTAGCCAAAATATGGTATGGTAATATGATTAACTTTAAACTTCTACACAAAAGATGGTCTTTATAATATGTGATATTGTTTACTATCGCATTTAGTTTGCTGAGGGGACATATTTTGTACTATTCTACATTAGCTATAATAAAGCTGAGCATCTGATTTTCGTTCAGTAGTTGTTTCTCGGCAAAATCCGGATTCCTAGACGCTTAAAATAGAAGGAAATGAAACATATCGCTTTCTACCTAATAAGTTTTCAAGTTAACATTATTGTTTTTCATCGATCCCCTATGTTTTACGGAAATAAATTGGCATCCTGAATTATCATAAAACAGTGATAAAATTAAGTTAGTTTCTAGATATTTCCCTAAAACATTAGCCTTTTAATAGCATCTTATTTCCTGGAAACATCTATGCTTTCTCGTCCGGCTGTAGATTATAAACACTTTCAAATATATTAACTCCGAATCTCATTTTGGTTACATTTCATTTCCTCTTACTGGCTAGACAAATATTTTATCAAATTTAGATTGCTTAGTTAGCTGTCTCGTAATCACATTGGAAACCTACCTTTGGAGAATTTTTTCCATAAATTCCAATAAAATTAATCATGGAGATTTCTTCCATCAGTGTCGTTAACGCTGATCCAAACTGTTGAATTTTCTCATAAACCTGAATATTAAGTTAAGGAAATCATAGTATTCCTCTTTGTTATTATACTTACCTCTTCATAAGTAATCCATTTAATTGGAGAACTGAATGATTGGCGCATTCCAAAACAACATTTATCTTCTGAATATTATAAATAAAATTCACAGTTAGTAATGAGTGATTTCGAAAAATACCATTACCCTAGAATCATATTCATTTATTCACTTTGGAATAAGACAGAAGTTTATTTTTAAGGAAGATGGAAATTATTCTTATCTTTATGACAAATAGCACTTGAAAATAAAAACTTAAAAGAAGATTACATTGTACGGTACGAATGAAGAGCCAGTTTAAAATATTTTTTTACTTAACACAAAATATAAATTCCCTTTTATGTATTTGCTATTATATTTACTTTTTTGTCAAACACCTCTTGAATATCCTAGCTTTGAAGTTTTTGTAGTGTTATTTTACTATACTAGTAACACTAACAAACAAATGACTTTCTATTATATGTATATATTACAGCTATCTACAAATTAACCTTTTGTTTATCTTGATTTATGATTATCTGCAAACTTGTGACAAAAAAAGTTCAAGATGAAGGCTTGAGTAAAGCTGATATCTTAAAACATCTAATCTTAGAAACCTGTTTCCAAATAAAGTAATATAGTGTTTATAACCCGAAAATTGATGCAAGTGATGGAGTTGATATGTCATGCATAGAATGTAGTTTATTCGCCTAAATTTTCACACGGTCATTGTGGAATTATAGGATTTAAAATAACAACACATTCTTTTACAGGAGTTATGAGAACTAGACAGAGCAAACATCTAATATTTCTGCAATGGTACGTACAAACGTCAAAGCCAAGTTATCAACTTGTTATGAGGACGCCATAAAATGGACCACACGACATTCTGAAAGTAGCACTGAAACTGATTGAAGCATACGTTAGTATTATGCAAAAGATGACCCCTTGTGATGTCAGACTGCATGTAACCCGATATTGTTTTTTATGTGATAAAAACGAAGATTTAAATCTTCTCGTCTTAGCTGTAAGCAGATTAAATGGTCAAGAGTTCGGGGATATTAAATTTAAAAACTTTTGTAATATGGTCTGCTTAATTATTCTTTCTGAACTTTAAGATATAAGAATAACGATTGTTTACATCATTAGTATTATTTGTTAGACACTAACCATAGCTTTAATATTAATTACTAACCAGTAAAGATAAACCTAATCAATAAACAAAGAAAAACATAAGGCAGGAAACTCCAAACATTAAAGTATATTGAATAATATCTTGAATATTTTAAACATTCGTTTCAATAAAAAAGAGGAATAACCAACATCAAACAAATAATTCTCAGGTGCATTTTGGTATTCATTAACCAAACGATCCAAGGTTACAGTGAGTTAACATCTCGAAAATTCGTAAAACCGTTTGATATTTGGCTAAGAATTAATCCAAGCCACACAAACAGAATGAAACGACGATACTTACGGAAAATACCATACTTGCTTCGATTAACAGTCAAACAACTCACATTATTATTATTAACATTATTTACTACGTCATTTATTCACTCTCTTTTATTCCCACTTTACGTATCTTGTTTTTCGACTTATACAGCAGCTCGCCTATGGTCGAAACTCGGTTCTATCTAAGTGTTCTCGAGTCACTGACTGGTTGAAAATTGAATTCTACCACCAAATACGAATACTGAAGCAGTTGTTCTGGAACCACGTGCACCATCCAAACTGGCTGCCTTCAACGGTCACACACTTATGCAGGTCGGACAACAGATAGGGCTGGCCATGTCTTTAATAAGCCTTAGTATCGACGTCTGTTGTCTTACGAGACCCGTATTCAAGACTCTGGTGAAGTACTACAAATTCACTCTCCATCTGTTGCTTCAAAAAGCTCTTTTTACGTGCGTTTATCCGGGGACCCTGTGGCATCTTCGTCAGGTCTTCCTGGCATTGGTGTCGCACTAAGCGCTAGAGCTGAGGCAGCACTAATCGATTGGATCCCTATTAACAGTCGGTTATTTGCTGTTAGATTAAAAAGTTCCATCAAAGTGAGAAGAAATCGGCGTGAGAAACGATGTCTTTTCGTCATCTTCGCCTATTCTCCGACAGATTGCAACCCGAATGCCACCAAGGATGAGTTTTACCACCAACTAACAGTTCTACAGAAAGTTCATTAGACAGATATTGTAATACTAGCCGGAGACTTGAATGCTCAGGTCGGGCGTCTAGACACAGAAGAGAGTCGTTTGGGTGGCCGATGGGGACATGATGATTGCAGGACAGATAACGGGGACTGTCTACTGCAACTGTGCACAGACCACAACCTGTTTCTGGCTAGCACTAACTTCCGGCATAGTCATCGCCGATGTGCCACCTGGCGTCCTTCCTCTGCATTTCAAGCCTGGACTCAGATTGATCACATCGCGATCAGCTACCGCTGGCGTGGTTGTGTACAAGACTGCCGCTCCTTTTGGAGTACCTATCTGGACTCTGATCATGCCCTGGTCTGCGCCAATCTTACCTTACTTTTCAGTGGCCAATGAAGTGAACGTCACCAAAAGATTGATGTCAGCAAGTTGGTTGCAACTTCTGTTGCAAGTAAGTATCGGACCGAGCTAGTTTCTAAGCTAGCTACCGTTCCACCGAAAAGTATTGATGAGCGTTGGTTGCAGCTGCATGACGCCATGAAAATGGCTAGTAAAGTCACTTGTGGTTTCGTGAAACGTCCCGCTTATAAGCACTGGGTTTCTTCTGGTTCCTTACAACACATCGAAGCCCGTCGGTCTACTCCGGGTGACCGTGAGTTTGACCACAAACGAAGGATGTTACATAATGAAATTGAGAAAAGCTTGCGTAAGGACCGAGAAGCCTGGTGGTCGGGGGCGTGCTAATGAGCTGGAAGCAGCAGCTGCATCTGGTAACTACCGGAAGCTGTTCCAACTCATCCGAGCCACTGGCAGCAAGAAGTCTGGTGTGAGTGAAACAATCTGCGAGGATGATGGGATGCCAATCACTAACATCCATCGACGTCTTGGACGATGGGCAGAATTCTTCGAAGGGCAGTTCAACTGGCCTGCTGCTCTGGCAACATCGGTCAGACTGTCCTGCCCTCCATGGCCGGTGACGACTGATCCACCAAATGAGGCGGAATTCCGCAAGGAACTCCAACTTTTGAAGCGCTACAAATCATCGGGCCCAGATGACTTACCTCCGACCCTTTTTAAAGATAGTGGTGACTTTCTGGCTAAGGAACTGACTGTGTTGTTTACAAAGGTCTGGGAACTAGAAAGTGTACCAACATCATGGAATGAGTCGATAGTTGTCCTTATCTTTGAAAAGGGTTCACGTCGTTCCTGTAACAACTATCGGGGGATAATTCTACTTCCGATTGCGTCCAAGCTATTGGCTTCCGTCATATTTCGTAGGTTGCTCAAAACCCGAGAAAGATTGACTCGCGAGGAGCAGGCTGGTTTTCGTTCTGATCGAGGATGTATTGACTATATCTTCACCCTCCGCCAAATGTTGGAACACCGTCATACTTATCAAAGGCCAACAATCGTAGTGTTTCTTGACATTAGGGCTGCCTTCGATTCGTTTGACAGGACTGTTCGCTGGGATTGTCTATTGAATAAGGGTGTGCCTGAGAAGTTTATGAACATCCTCAAGGCCCTATATACAAACACCTCAGGCAGAGTGAGGGCATACAACCACCTCTCTCCATTGTTCCATTCGAGCAGTGGGGTTAGGCAGGGTTGCCCAATCTCACCATTCCTCTTCAACTTTGCCATCGATGACATTCTGGAAACAGCTTTGATGGATGTAAGTAATGGAGGTGTGGATCTGTTGCATGGAGAAAGACTTCTTGACCTTGAGTGTGCGGATGATATTGTCTTACTGTGCGATAATGCCCAAGGCATGCAATCCGCACTTAATCAGTTGGCAATTATTGTCCGTAGGTACGGTATGTGCTTCGCACCTTCGAAGTGCAAAGTACTTCTACAAGGCTGATAGGATCCTAATCCTGTACTCACCCTGGATGGTGAGCAGATAGAAGTAGTCGAGATGTCTGTGTATCTAGGTAGCTACATAAGTGCTGGTGGTGGAGTGAGTGATGAGATCAATGCACGTATAGTGAAAGCCAGAGTGGCTTATGCCAATCTGGGCCATCTTCGGCGCCTTCGTCACGTTAGTCTGGCTGTAAAAGGTTGGATTTACAACGCAACAGTGAGAGCAGTTCTGCTCTATTCTTGCGAAACCTGGCCTCTCCGAGTTGAGGATGTTAGACGAATTTCCGTGTTCGATCATCGTTGTCTCCGAAGGATTGTTGACATCCAGTGGCAACACCATGTTAGTAATGCAGAGGTTCGGCATCGTGTGTTCGGGCACAGAGATGATAATGCAATTGGTGTCACCATCTTGGAACATCGACTTCGGTGGGTTGGACACGTTCTACGAATGTCGTTCCAGAGGATTCCACGTCGTGCATCATTTGCCGACGCTGGGACTGGTTAGAAGCGGAAAGGTGGTCAGTGTATGACACGGCATCGTGGTATAAAAGAAAGCTGCAAAGGTCTGGCTTGTGTTGGTCCTTCACGACTCCCTGGCTGGGGTCCGAGAGATGGTGCAACACGGTGGCTAGAGACGTTATCAGATATGGCTCAGAATAAAATCCAGTGGCAATCCTGCTGTAACCTTCTTTTATTTTCTTCATAAAAAGCGGTTGTATCTTCCTTAGCTGAAAGAATTCTTCTGGTTGTACTGTTCCGTGTCCCCCATTATTATTATTATTATTATTATTATTATTATTATTATTATTATTATTATTGCACTACCTTACACTAATCTGTGGCCGTTATTGTTGTTCTTTTTTTTCTTTTACGCTCTTTACCTTCTTTTTTTCTCTTCGAATTCTCATTGTTTTGTATGGCGTATATATATTTGGTGCCCTCTTGTACCAATATTTGTGTGTTCAAATAAATAAATAAATCCTAATTTCCCTGGAATCACCTAGCATACGTTTTATTTAATATTCTGATTATCGATGTGGTGAGACCGTTCTACCGTCCAGGTAGCAATTTACTTCATATCAAAGGAACGAATAAGAGTCTATTAGATTCACTCAAATCACAAACAATTTGTACTCAGTATCAGCTTCCAGCACAGTTATTATCAGTATGTTGTTTCCATCTTCCATATGAAATTTGAAATCATATTCGGGTAGGTTATACTGCAGTCCGTTATTAGTGATACAGATTTGTTCAAAGCTGGCATATATTTTAGGACATTCAGATAGGCTTGGTGGAACCAATATTGGGTTTCATCAGCCAACAAGCTTGTTATTAAATTATCCATAACTTCCATCCCTCCCTCCCCAGAAATCAATTCGAAGTAAATTGAATATTGGCTATCGACGCACTTAAAATAATACATATAGATTGGTCTTGTGAGTGAGGTGCAGTAAAACTTTCGACTAAAATCACTTATGGCTAATCACTAGGTCTTACTCAAACGTACTGGATTTTCACTAGCTACTAACAAGATTTGGAACCTTATCAATCTTTCCTGAACGATTTCATGTCGGTCATCTGGAAAATTACAAAAAAACGTATGTACCGACTACAAAACTTGATAGTCAGAAGGTTTTATGACAACAAGAAAAGTAACTCTACTTGACAACCGTCAGAAGTAAAGAATTATAATGGTGTAGTTCAAGCAGTCTGTGAAGTGTAACCTTCTGAGCTGATGATGTGTTGAGACTCCGTCTACGATTCTTGGATTTTTCCGAAGGACTATTTGAGTGCCTGAAAACACTGTGTGAATAATGTTACTGTTCATCATACTGAGCTAGTGTCAATTATCAATCAGCGAAGGATTCTATTTTGGAACACCAGTTTTGGTGACCTGTATATGTTATACGAATTACATCTAAGAGGATCCATTTCCTAGTATTATTTTCTGATACTAAAAAGTGTATTTAGATTCATTTTATGATGCGTTGCTATATAAAAATGAAGGGTTATGTATGACTAAGATTTGTTGGTAGTGCACGCTTTTGCTGACTAGTTCCTAAACATGGTGTAACTCAGTGGCTTTAAGAGTCATTAGGCATGCCTCGCAATAGAAGGTAGTAGCAACTATGATGTGATATTTTGTGCTCCACTTAAATAGTAAGACGCATCTTTCAACCTGACGAAGTTTATCTTTACCGTTTTTTATTTAAACCCTATCCTCAGATAATGTTTAGATCCGTTTATTTAATGTGTATTTACTGTGTGGCATACCTCTCAGTATACTGCTGTACTTTGTATTTTTGTTACAAAAACCATGTGAAGCGTAATTTTCATCCGTAATCAGCTTTAAGTAATTTACCCTATTTATTTGGAGGCCACTTGGTACTTAATTATGGGTTAATCAGTTGATGATCAAATTATTTATTAAGCTCAACGAATACACTTATTAAGATAATGTTAGTCAGATTTTAAGAAAGATATGAACTACGTGCTCTACACCCATATTTAATATCACAGTTGTCAGATTTAATAAATAATCCATGAACAATCAACTCTGAAGAATTTTAAGTACCTTTTGTACTACAGAATTTTATCAGATGTTTGCGTATCAATCTGATACAAATAAAGCATTTTATCCGATTCATAAGTGAATTATATCAAAGAATATTTAAAGTTTTAAAGTTGACAACTAATAGCCATATTTGACTGCTTGAGTACATAATAACTGCTGTAAAATTTTCGGATACAAGATAGAGGAAAAGGAAATATGGATGCAAGCTCATTGTCGTTGATGCCCGACCACTTTTTCTTACCGCTTTATCCTTACATTTATTATAATTGATTCGAGTTACAATTGTTTATGTAGGGCTTTAGAGCGATCAATGATCCTTTGATTACTTGCGGCTGTGTTAAGTAAGATATATGATCTTATGTTTCTAGACTGATTAACATTTTGAGTTTGACTCAGCGAAACGGTAAGAGTAAGTTATTAAACCATACATCGGGATATTACAAACATATTATTTATTTATAACAATCTATCGAATGCTCAATTTATTCGGAATTATCAAATCAAACCTTGGTAATGATACATACAAACTCATTAAACCGTATAGTTTGCACTAAAATGTTTTTAATGCCAAGGGTCTTGTAGGACAAAAAAAATTCAACCTTCAATATTGGTCAGACATCTTATGTGTTCAAGTTACCCTCTTAATTGACGTCAGAAATTACTTGGTAAATTGCGGAGAATTTCTAATGGTTACCCACTCAACCAGTAAATAAACTGTTTACTCACTTGACTTTCTTAATCCTGTTTTAAAGATATCAAACGGGGAATTTAGTTGCACATCATCGATAATAGAGAGTTTTCTAACAGATGCTCTTAATCCTGTCTAAAACGTAGCAAAGAAAAACATTGGCAAATTTAATGGTAAACTACTTTTTGGAATTTTAATTTTGATCAATTTTTCCCTCACACACTCAATTTACCATGCTCCCAGGTTTCCAACGGTGGTCTAACATCAATCAGTTCATGATCTCAATCACAAAAATATAAAAAGTCTACCACACTGTTGTGACGAAAAGCCTTATTTTTATCACGATGATTTTGTTGATATTTACATCAAAACCTGCATGAAAAATCAAAGTTTAGTATAAATAGAAAATGAATCTTGTGCAGCATCTTCATTCTAAGGAAGACGAGCAAAAAAATAATACTCTAACACAAATCGACAAATCCATCCTCTAAAGAATAACATGGTAACATCGTAGTTTTAGATCATCATAGCAGCTTCACATTTTCAATCAATTGGTTTCAATTTAAGCACCGTTCCCAAAGTAGTTTCAAATTTTTTTGTTACTAGCAAAGATCTGATAAACTTAGCTTGCTTCATAGGCCTGTCTTCAATAGCTTAATGTCATTCGGAACAAAACAGTAAATAAGGCACTATACAACCAGTTTTCATAGTTAATCAAAATTTCGGCATCCCTAGGATGAAATTACAAATCATGACTTGTTATTAAACCTTTGAATGAAAACATCTCTACATTTTTGTGGCGTGGTTTATGTACAACACAGTTATAGTATATTTAGCTATTACAAGCTTATTGTGTATGTAATTCATAGTTTCTTTACTTACTTTGTGTAAAGTTATTTATACTAAGTAGTTTAACAGAATCCTCATAACCTGAGCTATTCAGTTTTTAATCTGAATTTTTCGGCATATTTCGAATTAACTTCCCATCTCTCAGTTACAAGACCGTTTTAGAAATCGCACAAATGCTTTATTTGTACAACAGTCTAAGTTGTAAGCAAGCACAAAGTACCGAACTCAAAATTCATGCTGAGGTCGTGATGTCAGTATATTTGGAATAATTTGGCAAGACAAATTAGGCTTTAAGAACGTTGAGAATTTTTTCAAGTACATAACTATACAATATTTTTGGCTATTCCTTTTTTTAAATATCTCTATGTAACTAGAAATGATGTTCTTAGTCTATCTGATAAAACATCCATTAACTACTATTTCTTTTGAAAATAACGGCGTGCAGTCACAGCAAAAACTACTAAAGTATCTACAGCTTTTGTTTAAAGTAAGTGTTGACGCTAGTTATTTTAAAATAGTGTAATGTTCTCAGTCACAACAAAGTAAAGAATATGTTTTTATACTGAGATTTGACATGATGAAAATATGTAAACCACTTTGCTTCATAAATTACTGAATATTAGGACCGATTATATGAAAAAAAACTAGAAATATTTTTGAAGTGACAAAGAAATGGACATTTTAGTACATGTATCCGTACATATATATGAAACCATGTCATGTCTTTTTGATGAAAAAATTTAAAATCTAGATGTTACAGATTGAACCCCTATAAAATAAAATTCCATGCAAACCATAATGAGTAGTTTAAATTATATCTTAGACATTTTATTTGATAAACACATTACAACCTGAAAATTACGACACATCTTATCTAAGTCGTAGAAATGTAGTAACATTCAATAAGTACCAACTCATTCGGAAGGCGGGAATGCGTTTTTTATTTTATTATATTTTGACATTCGTTTGGTCTTTGTAAACGTAATTGTCTTGCAATTACTAAATGTTCACTGGTTTCCTCCCAAACACGAGATAAATTTGAAAATATCAACAAAACAACAGTAGCGTAATACCGGAGTTTAGCTAGATCAATAAAATGGAAGTGTTTTAATATTCTCAGATTCGCATCATTTTTAAGTGATGTTTCAACAAGGAATAAGGTTCGTTTAATTGAATAGAAATCTCATGATTTACTTGCTTTTCAGTATGAAAAAAGTCAATGGTTACCTTTTCGTTAATTATCACAGACTGATTGTCGGTGAATTGAACTTGTTTCACTTTTATTTGTCCACAATACTGAGTAGTGATAGTGTACATTACGATTATCAGCACTATTGAGAGCAGTAAGGAAGACATTGGTAACGAAAAGGTATCCATCCAATCCATTTTATTATAGTTTGATTTGTGTGCTAAAAAAGTACATGTGTTTCCATAATAATTTTCGTTAGTTTGTTGATTTTAACATTCTGCTGATATGTAACAAAGATAGCAATAACACTACATTTCTTTTGTTTTATTGTTACACTACTTTAATGGAGTTCGGCAAA